AGGTCATTTTTACGACAATGCCATCCCCATGAGGGCTCGCGGCACTGAGCCCCGCTCAGTAACTAAATCTGATCTCCCCCACGCCACTCCACCCCTCGCTGCGCTTCTCACCTGCGGGCTCCGCGAACAGGAAAACCCGCCCATCGCTGGGCGCTATCACGCATGCCCGGGGCTCGTCCCGGTCCAGGCCGTATGGAGCTTCCGTCTGTCTCATTTCGACGACCCGTCCCTCTCGTACCGCTGCGGGCCACCCCACTGGAGCGAGACAAAAAGCACTGTTGGGCCGGCCACCGGTGGTGAGAGCTCGCCGCGAGACGGATCACTAATTACCCAGGAGGTTTCGTTCGGCCAGCAGCGCCAGCACACAGCAAAAAGCAAAACGCAAAAAAAGGCTTGCTGAGAAGCTAAATAGATTAAAAGAGCGGCCGTATCGCATTTCGGTTCCGTGAGTGATTCGCCGTGCATTTTTTTCCCTCGGTGGGTGTGCGAGTGAATGTTCTGCGAGCACGCGGCGTCACAGCGTGGGAGTGTGTGTGCGGGGGGGGGGGGGACAATGTTGTTTCATCCAGCATTGCGACTATGAAGGAGAGAAAGAGGAGAGCCCTTCGACTGGATAAACCACCGAGGGCGAGGGTGCGTGGGAGTGAGAGAAAGCCTCCCCCCCCCTACTCGCCGCCCTGTCCAAAGGGCACTCGGTGACTCTAATGGAGGTGCTTGCTCCTAGAAGTGCGTCCGTTCTTTCCTTGTCGCCGTGCCTCACAGCGCTGCCACTCAGCGTGTCGGGAGGGGAGTGCGCCTGTGGATCGCACGGTAGGCAAGCCCGCAGCACTGCCGGGCCCAGCGCGAGGCCTACCCAAGCGCCTGTTATTGCTAGTGACGGCTTTGGAGCACGCGGTAGGCCAGCCCAAGCACTGCCTACCCCACAGGCAGCTTTTCCGAAGCCGTCGTCGCGGGCGGGCCTCCTTTTTGTTTCCTCCAAGGTCCAAGGGGCAAGAATGCAGAATCGTCTCGGCACACGCCTCGTGACACAGGCACGTAGTCCGCTCAGGGCGAGGCCAGTGGGCCAGTGCAAAGGCCAGGCCGCGCTTCGGCGCGCTTCGGCGCAGGAGGCACTACTTCTCCGCGATGCGATGACGTCTGACAGCCCTCATGGCTGGACAAGCTGCTGATGCTCGCGATCCGCTACACTCGCTCTTTGATGCTGCGCGGGCGCGCAGGCGAGAGGGGGCGGGGGCGGCGCGGGCGAGTGGGGGCGGCGGGGGCGGCTGCTGCCTGTTGGAATTCACCTGGAGGACTTCTCGGTCGTCCTTTTGTCGAATAGCGGTTGGATGAAGTGGCGATTAATGATATAGTACTCATCAGCCGCCCAAGTGGGAAACCTGCTTTGGCTATGAAAGAACGAGATTCCGTAAGCCTGGGGCATTTGGTCTCCAGTAAGTATCCGCCTTTTTGGGTGGCCAAGATACTGCCTGTATTCCTCCTGGAATTCACATTCTCTGCAAACCGGCACGAGTGCCGAGGTGCACCCCGCTACGCACGTGCGCTCGCGCATGCTCGTCAGCAGCTCATGCACTCTCTACTCTCGGCTCTTCCAGTCTGGCACCAGCTCCAGCCGTCCCAGCTGCCTTCTGCCGTCGCCCACAGTCAGGCCACTGGCAAGAAACACCAGGAGCTTGCAAGGCAATACTTAAGCAACAGAAGCCGGAGCAGCGTGCATGGCAGCAGTCAGCAGGAGCACCCGGCGTAACGGCAAGCTGGAGCACCAGTCGTGAGTCAGTGCATTGGACAAGCAAGTAGCAGCCAGCATGCAGCCAGGCAGCCAAGCAGGCACCAGGCAGCAGGCAGCCAGGCAGGCACGTTGCCAGGAGCAGCAGGCAGCTTGGCAGGCAGGCAGCCAGCGCAGGCAGGCAGCCAGGCAGGCTTCCAGGCAGGCAGGCAGCCAAGCGGCAGGAGGCAGCCAGGCAGGCAGCAGCAGCGCAGGCAGCCAGGCAGCACATCCAGGCAGCAGGCAGCAGGCAGCCAGGCAGGCAGCCAGCAGCCAGGAGCGGCAGGCACCGCACCCCGGCGAAACGCAAAGAGCGGCAGCCAGGCAGCAAGGCAGCCAGGCAGCCAGGCAGCCAGCCAGGCAGCCAGGCAGGCAGCCAGGCAGCAGGCAGGCAGGCAGGCAGGCAGGCAGGCAGGCAGGCAGGCAGCCAGGCAGCCAGGCAGGCAGCCAGGCAGGCAGCCAGGCAGCCAGGCAGCGGCGTGCCAGCCCCGATTGCCTGGAGGCCAGCCAGCCTCCAGGCAGCCTCCAGGCAAACGAACGAACGGGTTTCTCATTCTCCGCTTCGGCCGGGGTGCAAAAATACCCTCTATGTGCGAAGGTGGCGCGTGTGGCGTCTCAGCAGTGCCTTCAAGGGCGCCGTCATTTGGGTAACGACGCGCGGCGGTACAGGGCTGCTAAGTTGTTGTTGACGTCGCGGCCCTTTTCAGTCCGCCAGCCGAGCCTTTCCGCGAATAGCGTGCCAGCGCGCCCTTTCCGCGTCACTGACGTCACTGATTGGCGGGGTGGCGCTGTCGCACTGCTGCGCTTGTTCGGCCAGACTCACTTAATCTGTTGCCGACCGCGCGCTGCCCCGCGCTGCCCCGCGCTGCCCCCAGCCGGCCGGGTGGCCTGGCGGCATTCAGTGATAGCGAGCCGGCCGGCTCATGCGAGGCAAGGTGGTCAGCTCAATCCGCCACCGCCACGCCACGCCACTGATCCACCCCGGACGGCCGAAGTGGTGATCTGGCCTGGCACTCTGATGCCAGTTTCCCTGAATGAATGCACGCCGATTCATGGGGCTCAAGCACCAGTGCTTAAACTCTGCATGTGGGGACTCCACATCAAAGGAACGTCCATTTTCGCGCCAATGAAGCAAACGCACGGTGGCACGGCAAAACCCTCCACTGGCGAACGAAACCCCACCGCGCATGTCGAGAAAAATGGCGTGGGGCAACACGGTTCGTTTGCTTACCGACATCGGCAAGCAAGCCCGCTTCGCGTCCACGCTGTGTTTTCTGGGCCGTCCTGGCCGTCCTGGCCGGCGGCAGCACGGCTCGGAAAACAACGCTACTGTCAGCCCTGTCTCTCTCGCTCCCCTACGGTGCGCCTCGTAAGTGCGAGAGAGACAGACCCTCCACCATGCCTCCACTTGCCAGCAACAGCAAGGGGATGGTACGCCACCTGTCCTTGTTGAGCGCCGCGGACGCCGCAGCACCCTGTCGCATGTCTGTGCGTGTACTGCGTGACGTCGGACGTTTCCCAGGGTAGCACATTCTCAGAGCCTTAGAAACCATTTCCCGTCTAACAAAGAAAATGCCTTAGAGCAGCTTTTCGTGAAAGAGCATTTTGAGAATATTTTAGCTTACATAGAAAAAAATCTTCTTTTACTAACTATTTCCTCATCGACAAACTCAATAGTTTAAACTCTTTAGTTTGTCGATACCTTTGTACGTGACGCGTGCTCAAAGTGCTTCGTAAGGTTTAAAGCGTGCACCGCTCAGTCTCAAAATCGACTCACTGCTTTTACTCACTTGCAGTATTTACGGTCTACCGGCGATGATCGGATCCCTTGCTACCGCACCGAACGACAAAATGAATTCAAGCGCTAAGTGCACCTCGTGCCGGGCACTTTCTGGCCGACTGGCCGTGCAAGACCCTGCTCGCGGAACGCCAAACCGGGGACGAATGGGGCGCGAACCGTTAATGACTCGCCGCGTGCGCTGCGCTGCATCGCGACCCCTTTTTGCGCGCTAGTTTTGCACGCCGCTTAATTGCGGGCAAAACAAAACCAAGATTGATTATCACTTCGGCCGAAGCTCGTCCCGACTCGTCCCGACTCGTCCCGGGCGGCGCTGGCCGCGCTGCCGGCGTTGGCGGCGCCCAGACTAAACGCATTACTCCCGTTTAATTTGGTGCCAGACACAGAGACAAGCGCCGCTTCCCATCGGTCGTTCCGCCGTGCTCTCCCCGCGCTGGGCCGCGGCCGCGGGACGGAGCGCATGTCACTTCGCAACAAAACGACGACAGCTCTTTACGCAAACGGGGAGCGGTAAACCGTCGTCCCTGATGCGAGTGCACATCATGATGAATCGCTCTGCGAGCAGGGCGTGCTAACTTAACATTTATTGAGATTTTGAGTGCCTTTATCTCGTCAACGACAAAAGGTAAAAAAGTTATGCACAGGGTGACTTAAATTTAAAATTCGATTTTGAATTTAAGTTATTCTATGCATAACTATTTTATTTCTAGCCGTTTACGAAATGAAATGTCAAAAATCGCAAATAAATGTTAAGTTAGCACTCCCTGTCTGCGAGCGTCGCCTCCGGGGCCACCGCGCAGGCACTCAGGAACGCTACCGCAAGTGACTGAAGGTCCAACGATTTCTTCATTTTTCTCAACGAGTACGTTAGAGGTTGATCACGCTTCGAACATGCTGGATCACAAATTGAAATCGCACACGAGCTGGCATCAACGTATCAATGACCAGCAGCTGTCGTCAGCGCAGTTGAGGCCCCAGCAGCACACCACAGGCTCCTCTGTTTTCTCCGCACTTAGTTCACTTTTGCAAAGAACTTCATCAATACCGATCAATACAAAATCGGCTTGACGGCCGACCGGCGTTTAAGTTAGGTGCGAAACAACCTTGCCCCTGCGCTGAGAGACTTTTTGGTCAAAGTAACTGAAGTTTAGCCAATGCGGCCATTCTCGTGAGTCGTGGCGGCTTGCGTCGGGAGAGGCATTCAAGGGGTGAGGGCGGGTTGCGCAATGAAGGCAATGTCGCTTCGGCGCCGCCGTGCACAAGCAAGGCCCTGGGCGTGGACGGCGGACCCGTGCAATCGGCTGCAATCGGCTGCAAAGCAACATTTGCCGCCGCAGATGGGGCCCGTGTGGACGGGGGTCAGGCCGCAAGGGGCGGGGCGGGGCGGGGCGTGGCCTGGCGTGTCGAGGTTGGAGCCGATGAGGCGGTTTTGCCTACCTTGGGCTGGCTGACGGCGAGGTGCGCGGTGCGTCCGGGTGTCGCGACGACGCTGTGTACGGCGCCCCGCTGGCCACGGCAATGGTGCCCGGCCCATGCGCCGCCACTATATAAGCCCTCCTCCCCCAGGCGGGGGGCGGGGCGCGGCGGGGCGCGGCGGACGGGGCGGGGCGTCGCCGGGCGGGGGCGCGCGGGCCCACCGTATGCTGTACTGCACCGGGCCACCCCGGTAGACAGAGGACTGGTGCGGCAGCCCTTTCCTCGCTCAATCAGTCAGCAAAACGCACTCGCTACATCTCACGCCGCGGGATCAAAAGCACTGCACTGTAAACTGGGTGGGAAACAGGGGAAAGGGGGAGGGGGGATTCCCCGGGGAACTCACATATTGCACGGGGTGGGCGCCGTAGAACAATGTTTCATACAGTTTCACCGGCACGTTCAGGGAAATGACGGTGGAGAGTTTTTAGACTCATTCGCTCGGTCTTCAGCCTTTGCAGTCAGAGTCTGCTTCAAGAATTTAGCCGTCATTTGGCTGAAAGCCAAATTCGATCGTTGTTGAGCGTAACCAGTTGTGCTAATGAATTTCTCTCCACCATGGCCAGTGTTTCTTTCAACTAACGGACTTTGTCTTGGAACAAAAACCAACAGAAACGTCAGTCAGACCAACCATTCAGCTTTCCCTGGGCCCCTCTTTCCGCTTCCTCAGTGACCTTTGATCGTTTAAGCGCTCCCCTGGGGTCCAGACATAAGCGCCCCTCTCAAGCGAATTTCGGCGCCCTTCGCTGCGGCGGGGTGTGGGGGTGCGGGGCGTGGGGGTCACGGTTCCCACGCGCATCCCCTCGGGTCGGGGCACCGAGGTGGGTCTGGCAGTCTGGCCCGTGGCGTCGGCAGGGCCATGGCAGGGCGGCGCAGACGGCGTGGCGTGTTACCTGTTGAGGCCGCGGCGTAGCCGGCGGAGGACCCAGGGGCCGCGGCCGGCCGAGGGGCTGAGGGCTGTGCAACTGGTCGCGGGGGCGGCAGGGTCACGCGCCACCCATCGAAGTGACGTATGCCTCTGTCTCTCTGTCTCCCTCCCTCTCTCTCTCTCTCTCTCTCTCTCTCTCTCTCTCTCTCTCTCTCTCTCTCTCTCTCTCTCTCTCTCTCTCTCTCTTCCACCGCTGTGGGACGCCGCATGAGTGCAACGGAGACAGACTCTTCGGAACCAGTTAGTCCGGTGGCCCGACCCCTGGATCGCCCGCCTGTCCAAAATCAGAAACACGCTCCGCGCGTGCTGAGGCCCGCAGCTGCAGACCGATTGCCAGATTTCCCAGCCGAGTCCCTTCTCGGCGAGTCTCTCACAGGGGTGCAAGAGAGACAAAGCGACGAATTAATGGACTGCTTGAGATTCCTCGGTCTGTGATGGCGCATCGGCATTCAGACGCACGGCCACCCCGAGTGCCGCTCGTGCCGCCCCCCCCCCCGCCCCCCGCCTCCACGGCCTCCCCGAACGCCGTTGTGGCTGACCTTGTCTCCGCGTCGGCGGGGCCGCGGGACGCCTGTGCGCCCACCAGGAACAGGACGGTCTTGGAGACGGCGCCGCCAGGTCCGCCAGGTCCGCCAGGTCCACCAGGTCGACAGAGAAAAGTGTCGGGTGGCCGACGGACAATTTGGTCTGAAATACGGCGCGGCAATTCACGCGTCGGCCGGCCGGGCGGGGCGGCCACGCCACTGCCACGGCACGCCACTGCCACGGCACGCCACTGCCACGGCACGCCACTGCCACGGCACGTCACTGCCACGGCACCGCCACTGCCACGGCACTGCCACGGCACCGCCACGGCACCGCCATGGCACCGCCACGGCGCCAGGGCGCCAGCCACTGGACTCGGGGCGGATGGACCGGCTGACCGGCAGGAGGATTAAAGTCATAAATTGTGCCACGCGACCTGAAGCGGAGCTCCTCGGCTGGTGTGTGCGTGTGTGGAGAGAAGGGGAGAGAGAGACAGAGAGAGGGAGAGAGAGGGAGGGAGGTGCCAACCATTGCACCTCGTTGCCCTTTGCCACAAGTTCTGGGAAAAATAAGTCTTGAACGAGGGGAGGCTTTTGTCCGTGCTTTGCCACCAACTGTTTTCTTCCTGGGGCGGAGTGTGCTGCAGTTGCACGATGACGATGATCAAAGGGGAATGTGTCTTAAAGCAAAATGCGACAGGCTATTTAAGGGCTGCTATTTGTGTGCACGGAACGAAGATAATTCACGCTGTAGCGACCGACATTGTAGCCAGAGATCTCTTGCTCAAACTAGCAACACACGCGTTGTGGGCCACGAAGAGGCAGAGTGCGAGCATGCAGACGGTCGCCAACACTCAGGACTCTTCGTGGCACTCGAGGAAATAGATGCGTGTGAACCGGCAGCCCGCGCGTGACGCAAACGGGGCGGACGGGACGGATGGAGCGGACGGGGCGCTTCTTCGCTGTCAGACAGTGTCGCGGCCAGCGCGATTCGCCCTTCGAGCCGCGGTGTGCCGCGGTGGCCTTTCTGCGCCCACGCCGTCCAGCCGTCCACCCCGTCCGCCCGTCGCGCCCCGCGGCGTGGATACCCCGCGCCTCCAGCCGGCCTCCGGGCCGCGGGGTATCGCGGAGGACGCGCGGAGTGTGTCCGAGAGCTGCCGCACTGCAAAAGGGGTGCGACGGCGCGGCCGACGGGAGGAGGAGAAGGAAAGTCGTCAATTTCATTAACGTAGTATTACTATTTATTATTACAAATATTAATAATATCTTAAAGTATATACAAAATGGGCAATTGAATGTAATAAAACAGTAAAACAATCAAGTGAGACCAAACATAAACTTTGAGCAATAGGGTGAGCTGCTTCCTGCGAAGCTCTGTCAAAGGCCACATTCGAAAATATCACGCCATGCGTCCACCGAAATTTTACAAACCTGTCTAAATTTAACTCGAAATTAATTATCATAAACAAAGGTCCAAACATAACTAACGAGATCTACAAGAGAAAAATGTTAGATGAAAATTAGAGGTGTTCCTGCCATTAACAACCAAGATCTGCCTCGTCGGGAAACGTCAATTTTTTTCCATCCACGCTGCGTTTGTTTACCTTGGTAGTAATATTGAAGGGAGGGGCGCCGACAAACACAAAGTAGTAAATAGTCAACACTTACATCTACATAACAAAATGTGGACATAGAATAAATGTTCAATAAATAACAAATAATTTAATTTAGACCAACAAGTCCTGTGAACCCCAAAGGAACATCTCATAGCACGCCCCATTGCACGACGCGGCAGAGCCGGGCAGAGCGGTTCATCGGTCGAGTGTCGCCGGCGCAGTCTTTGGCATCAAGTGCAAGGGCTGGCCCGGCACGGCACGGCACGGCACGGCACGGCACGGCACGGCCACCGTGGCAAGGCCGGCAAGGGAAGACCAGATGAACCAGCGCAGCGACAAGCACCCGAGGACAACGCCGAGGCCTGCTTGGAAGGTTGCTTTGCCAGTCTAAGCTACTTTCTTATACATTACATTAATTGTAAAAATAAATTAAATCCATATAATCAAGAGAATTGGAAACAATGTCGGCACGGATCCAGGCTTTGAGCACGCCTGTTTGGCGCCATGCACACAAGAGCTGAATACCGCGAGATTTTACATTGACAAGCCCTCACTCATCATTTTTACAGAGACTACCGCACACTGAAATTCGAACGGTGAGACATCTGACCAATTTTCGGCGATAGACAAAATATAAGCGAAAAAGGGCGGTACTCCAATGTGTAACCGGGAAAAGGTCCGACATCAGCCCGACCGGCCCGAAATATTACCCTTTATCGGTGATACATCACCCCTTTTCGTTCATGTATCGAAGTATCACCCGTTTACGGCAAAACATTTTGGTAACGTCCTTTTTCGGTCAGACAATTATGTCTCACCCCTTGAGGGTTTAGATGTCTCACTGTTCCATTTTCAGTGTAGACGTGTGACGCAACGACTACTAAATACAAAAATTCATAACTACTATAAATTAATAAATAAATACACCATAATAATCAGTGGTAGACAACTACCTTCAATTCATAACTATCAACAGCTCATTCAATTGTATTTACTAAATGACACTTTTTCAAGAAAAAAAAAGATATCGTGCTCATTTTAAAACTTTCTCTTAATTTAGAGTAAATATTAGGCCCATAAATATGGCACCACTGATGAGACTTCCAAAACAAACACATAAAATAACAAACAACTTTTTCTGAGCAGGTTCCTAGCACCGTTTCCTAGTTGAGAACAATTATTACAAACAATCACGCAACACTTTCACACCTGAAATAATTTACAGGACTACATTTTTTAAAGTCAACAGTCAACCTCCCGCTCGTGTACACAGTCTTCGAGCTCCCCTCCCGGTGCAGCAAAAAAGGGGACGCGATTATTTACTCCAGCCCATTCTTTCAGGTCATGAAAAGTCCTTAACATGAAATATCACTTTTCACACGGTCAACGATAAATAGATACTATTACTACAAAACGTCTCCGTTCAAGTCCTTAACGAGGCCTTAACTTTCGGCCGTCGGCTTGAGTGGCATCACGTCGCAGCCCACGCACACACACGCAGGCACGCGCACACACATACACACACACACATTCACACCGATGATGTTGAATGGGCGGGTTGCTGGCAGGGTTCACTCACACGGTGCTGATCAAACCCAGTTTTACTACTCGATCCAATATATTGTAGAAAACCAACAATACCAACGAGCCCGCCTTAGGGCACTGCGGCTCTAACAATCTAAATATATTTGGTTTAACTCTCGCGATCTCATACGTGGCGTGATTTGGACAATAGAGCTGCTACAACAGAATTTGTACATAATAAATCTACATTATTATTATCAATATCAGTTTTATCATTATTATTTATGTTTTTGGTTCTTTCAGAATCTACAGACACCATCGTCGCCAGCTTGAGTTTGATCCGGCTACTCTACTCTTTGTACACTTCACTATGAAAGCCTCTCTCGTATGACTTAGATTCCGACCTGAGCGCCACCGCCCGGAGAAGGAAGAGAGAAGGAAGAAGGGGACGAGGACGCCGAGAACGCCGAGGCCACGTCGACGGGACGCCGACCGGGGTACTTCAAATTGCTCTGGGACGGCTTTTATGGGAAATGTGGGCGGCGGTTGGGCTTCGGACCGCACCAACCGTCGCACACATTTCCAGCAGAGCGTCGTCAAGGCTCACAGGCTGCTGTTTGAAGTCCCCTTTGATATCGTTCTGGACGGCCATGGGTGGACAGGAAAGCGGGGAATTGTAAGAAAGCTCGGGCGCATCGTAACAGGCGTAACTCACGCGGCTAGGGGACTTGAACCAGGATGCGAAGCGTGGCGGTGGCCGCCCCCACCTTCAACTTACTGACTGTTCCAGATGAGGGGTGCCACCGGAACGAATTAGAACTAAGTCACTAGAAGACGTTGCTCGGCCACATCTGCGGCGGCCGCGGCGACTCAGAAGCGGGAGTCGCTCGTCTCGTCCACCTTGCTGACGGCGCTCCTGGCCGCCTCGGCGCGGCCCCCGAAGGGCCCGAGGCCGCCCAGGAAGCGCATGGACATCCACGTGGCCAGGGCCTGCATGCCCAGGTGCTGCGACTGCCGCTGCTGCTGCCGGTGCTGCTGCTGTTGCTGCTGCTGCTGCTGCAGCATCTGCTGCGTCTCGCGCTGCACCTGGTAGCGGTACAGCAGGGAGCCCGCCACCAGGGCGGAGACGACGGCGGACACGGCCACGAGCACGAACAGCACGCTGAAGCCCTGCACGGGCAGGCAGATGCCGTACACCACCTGGAGGCGAGGAGGAAGCGTTAGCGACGGGGAGACGGGGGCAGCGCCGGCAGCGCCAAACGCACGGAGGGATGAGCTCACCTCCTCGCGGATGCGGCCCTGGAACACGATCACGGCCTCGGCCTTGGAGTCGGGCGTGAAGGCCAGGTCGGCCTCGCTGATGACGTCGTACAGCCCGCTGACGCCCACGTCCGCGCTGCGGGTGTGCCGGTCGGACACGGCGACGGACCTCCGGCGGCGCGGTGCGGGCGGACGGGGCGCGTTGTTGTCGTCGTCGCGCAGCTCGCGCAGCTCCATCACGGCGTCCGGGTCCAGCTGGCGGGGGCCGTGGGGGAAGCGCTCCACGCCCTCGCGCAGCGACTGCCGGGGTGGCAGCGGCTCCTGGAACGGAATGGGGTCAGTTTACTCACGCACTCACTCCAGGACCACGATGGTGTGCGTCGTCGGCGTCGTCGCTGTCGCCTACCTGGAACGGCCTGGGCAGCACGTCGTGGTGCATGTTGTTGAGGAAGTCCGGTCCCGACGGTGCCGACGCCGCTTGCTGCGAGGGGCCCTGCGAGGGGCCCTGCGAGGGGGTTGCTTGAGAGGGGCCTTGAGATGCCAGGGGTCCTTGCGACGGCTTCGGCGGCCTGGCGGGGCGAGGCGCCTTGTGCGCCGCCGCGGTCGGGACGTCGTGCTCGCCGTCGTGGAGGCCGGCGCTCTCCTCGTTCATCTAGATCATGAGCGAAGCCAGCCTCAGCAAAGATGCCATCGGAAGGGCGTTGCACTGCCCGTTCCTCCGTTGTCGTATGGATCCGCACTGAACCTTTTAAACCCTTCAGGAGGGTCTCCTTTGAGGAGCGGTGTTTGGCGAGATAAACGAAAACGAAAGGGATCGGGCAAGTGAAACACTCCGAGCATTCCACGAACAGAACTGTAGCCAGCTCTGCGTCGTACCTGCACCAGCTCGTCGTAGATGAGGTCGCCGAACAGGTCACCGTTCTCGGCGCTGGCATGCGCGGCCTGGCCCGGGGTCCTGACGGTGCCGCTGGGGCCGCCCGGCGTGTACACTGGGTGCGGCGAGGCCGCCGTCGGCACGTCCTTCCTCTCCAGGGGGCCGTACAGGCCGGCGTCGTGGCCGAGGCCGCCGAGGCCGCCGCCGAGGCCGTCGCCCAAGCCGCCGCCGAGGAGGGCGTCGTCGTGGCCGTTGAGTCCGTGGTCGGCGGGGCCCTGGCTGTGACCGAGGCCGGCCTGCTGGCAGTGGTCGAGGCAGCCGTGGCGGCAGATCTCAACCTGCGCACACAACGTGGGTCAGCTTTGTGGACAACAAGTGCCGCAGGAACTGGAGCGGCGAGTGACAGGCATTACCCCGCGCCCCGCTGGGTCCTCGACGGTCTCTGGGCCGCGTCATTTTCCCTTTTCTCGGACACAACGGCGCGGGAACACTCACCTTGCACTTGATGTGCACGGACAGGGCGTCGGGGAACTTGAAGGCATGGAAAAAGGCGTAGGTGACGACGGAGGCGCGCTCGTCCGCCGTCCTGGCCTTGAGGAAGCGGGAGATCATCTTCGGCCGCAGTACGCAGCCCTGGTCGTCGGAGAGCTGGATGACGTGGCCGCCGCCGTCCGACGCGGCGCAGGACTTGACTCGCATGTCGAACTCCCCTGCGTGAAGATGGTGCATTGAAATATCCGCTAGAGTGGATTTTTTGCACTGGCAGCGTTGATGGGATCGTTACCTCTGTAGTCGTTGATGGCCACGACGAGGGTGAGCGTGGAGCCGAGGGGCACGATGCCCGACACTGGCGGCGCCCAGGGGCCCTTGCCGTGCTGGATCTCCATCCAGCAGTCCACGTTGTCGCCTGGGGACAGAGTGTTAGAGCGGCTGAGGAGAACGAGCGGCCGCCGACGCGGTGCGCCGACGCGGTACGCCACGGGCGATGCGAAGAACGCTACCTCTGAAGTCCAGCTGAATGACGTCCAGGTCGGCGATCACCATCGGCGGCTTGGACGCCGTCTTCTCGTAGTCGTTGTACCACTCGCAGCGCAGCCGCTTGGCCTCGTCCCACACCTCCAGCAGGTCCTTGTCGTACTGCACCACCACCGTGTTCTCGTAGAACTGGCCGTGCAGGTCGGGCTTGGTGCCGCAGTGCGAGTACGCGATGCGGAACGAGAAGGAGGCCTTGCCCGTGGACGGCGGTACGTACACGCACCTGGGGGCAAGCAGATTACACTCTCTGGCCTGGCGATGCCAAGGGTTTCCGCGAGGTAGCGCCTTCTAGAGTGCGCGATGCGCGACGAACTAAGTTGAACCAACGCGTCTTGTAGGAGACAGGGAGACCGAATGCCAGCAAACGTTCGGACGCATCGGTTGCCCAAAGTCAGCCAAAACACAGTTTGACGAAAGTAAAACTCATTGACTAAACGTTGCGTCACGCGATAACTCACCTGGGGTCGCCGTACTGGCCCTTGGAGGACACGAGCCCCTCGAAGGGCTGCGTGAAGGTGAGGTGCACGTCCATGTGGTCCTTGCCGCACATCACCTCCAGGGACTGGATGGCGGGCATGCCGACGGGCCTCTCCAGCGGCCACATGTCACCGTCCGCCGCGGCGCGCTGCGCGGACACCTGGGGGCAGAGGGAGAGAGGTAAGCAAACTTAGGCAAACAGCGCGCAGGCCCGGCCGGCCGATCCCCTGGCAAGGGCCGCGGGCCGCCGCGGGCAGGTCGTCGACGCGGAGGCGCCGAGGACTCGGAGGCCAGACGACACACTCTCACCTTCGACCCACAAAGCGGCGAGCATTGTCTGCTTGGAATGGCGCATACGAGTGGACCTGCAAACCTGCGGCCTGGGACTGGCCCGCGGCGACGCGCGCCGGCGCGCGGCTCCACGTGGCAGTGTCTCCGTCTCTCTCGCACGGCTGCGGGACGCACCATGAGTGCGAGGGAGACGGAGCGACAAAGGCTCTGTTCGGAATGAGCCTGCGGTGGCGGCGGGGCGGGGCGGGGCGGGGGGGGGGGCGGGGCGGGGCGGGGCGCTGCGGACAGCACCGCACTAATGGCAGCACCGCCCGGCGCCGCCACGCAGCATGCACCATGCTGCACCTGTGCCTGCGGCTGCCGCCTGCGGCTGCCGCCTGCGGCTGCCGCCTGCGGCCTGCTCATCGCCATCGTCAATGCCGACTACACCGGTGCACCGCCGGGAAATCAGCGACTAAACACCAGCCCCTGCTCTACGAGACGACACGACGTTGACTGACTCCTGACTGAACTTCCTTCAAGCGGAAGGAAACAAAAATTCCACAATTATCAAACACAACAAATAATCAGATCTTGCTTTCAATTTGGTTTCACTTCCACTCAAACGGTGATTTGTCAAAATTAACATTTTTGGCCAATGACGCGTTCCCCCATCCGAGTGGTGGGAACGCGAACGTGCAACAGTTGCCGCGAAATAAGGTCGCCGGGGATGTCGCATTCCATTCCTCCAGTGGGGTCGCCCAATGTTGCAGCCGCGGCGAGGCGGCGCGGCGAGGCGCGAGGGGCCGCCGTGACATATTGCCGCCTCGCCTCGCCTCGCCGCCTCGCGGCCGCGAGCCGGGCCCGGCTGCCCGGCAGGTTCATTCATTTAACGACGACCCCCCGGGGAAAGACCACCTGTCCCCCGGCCGCCGCCGGCCCCGCGCGCGCCGTGTGCCGAGGCTAAAATGTAGCCTCTCTCGAGGCGTCGCTGGCTGGCCGCGCCGCCGCGGTCAGCGCTCCAGACTGGACTGGTCGCGACGCCCCCCGCCGCCCCCCGCCGCCCCCCGCCCGCCCCGCCACCCCCCGCCCCGCGCCCCGCCACCCCCCGCCGCGCCGCGAGGGCTGCGACGACGCGAGTAAGAGCCTGCGGGTCTACGGCGGCCAGTCGGTCGGCGCGCCGCTGCCTGCTTAGTGCCCGGCGAGGCCCGGCGCGCCTAGACAGAGAGGCGCGTCAGGCGGCCGACAGAGGGCCGTCAACACGAGGGCGGTCGGGGAGGGCGGTCGGAGAAGGCCGCGGCGAGGGTCGTCGAAAGGCCGCTCAGGGTGGCCTGACGGGAGGCCCGTTGGAGAGGCCCGTCGAGGCTCGTCCCGGGCGGGCCGTCGGGGAAGGCCGTTGCACTAGCTTTCCCCATTCTGCCGCCGTCCCAATCTGTGAAGACAGAACGGAGAAACCGGCGCCTCTTCGGCCACGCCCAGCGCCTTGCCCGCAGCGCCGCGCGCCGTGGACGCACGGGGCAGGCTTTTTAGCAGATGATTTGCTACCTTTGCTTTAAAATATACACCTAATACTACGAGACACAGAGGTGTCAGCTAGCTTTTACTCCAGAGTCCAGAAACGAAGTGCGCGGGCTGCCGGGGCGGGATGGTGAGTCTGTCTGGCTGTGGCTGGCCGCGGCGCAGCCTGCGCGGAATTCAACAATGCTTCCCGGCTAGGCTCAGCCCCGCGGGCGCCCGCGGACCCCGCGCGGCAGGATTTGGAACATTGTTGGGCTATCACGATGAAGCATCCTGAAATAGCACACAGACACACCAACAGTATCATCTGCTTTCATTAACGTTCGTTGAATGAGATTTTTAGCAATGATACCATTGTCACGCACCTTGAAACATATCTAACAAATACTGTCCTGAAGGTGTCAGCGTGTGTTTACTCTGGCGTAGCGCAGAAACCAGCGCGTATCTAACAATATCTAGGGGCTGGCCGCCGGGCGCTGTTTCTGCTGGTGGCTGGCGGTGACCGGGCAGCCTGCGGACAACTGCTCCCTCGTACCGCCTCTCGGCGCACGGCCTCGTTCGTGCAACATTTGACTATTTGGATGCCCATACTCTGAGCCGCCAACGGTCATCGTTTATTAACGGTTGTGGATTTGTTTGCCGTATAGGGCTTTTGGTCTGCCTCATACGTTTTTGATTTGCCGCATACGGTTTTTGTTTGCCGATACGGCTTTTGTCTGCCTCATACGTTTTGATTGCCGCATACGGTTTTTGTTTGCCGTATACGCTTTTGGCTGCCTCATACGGTTTTGATTTGCCCATACGGTTTTGTTTGCGTATACGCTTTTGGTCTGCCTCATACGGTTTTTGATTTGCCGCATACGGTTTTTTGTTTGCCGTATACGGCTTTTGGTCTGCCTCATACGGTTTTTGATTTGCCGCATACGGTTTTTTGTTTGCCGTATACGGCTTTTGGTCTGCCTCATACGGTTTTTGATTTGCCGCATACGGTTTTTTGTTTGCCGTATACGGCTTTTGGTCTGCCTCATACGGTTTTTGATTTGCCGCATACGGTTTTTTGTTTGCCGTATACGGCTTTTGGTCTGCCTCATACGGTTTTTGATTTGCCGCATACGGTTTTTTGTTTGCCGTATACGGCTTTTGGTCTGCCTCATTTTTTTTTTTTTTTTTTTAACGGTTTTGATTTGCCGCATACGGTTTTTTGTTTGCCGTATACGGCTTTTGGTCTGCCTCATACGGGTTTTGATTTGCCGCATACGGTTTTTTGTTTGCCGTATACGGCTTTTGGTCTGCCTCATACGGTTTTTGATTTGCCGCATACGGTTTTTTGTTTGCCGTATACGGCTTTTGGTCTGCCTCATACGGTTTTTGATTTGCCGCATACGGTTTTTTGTTTGCCGTATACGGCTTTTGGTCTGCCTCATACGGTTTTTGATTTGCCGCATACGGTTTTTTGTTTGCCGTATACGGCTTTTGGTCTGCCTCATACGGTTTTTGATTTGCCGCATACGGTTTTTAGCAGATGATACCTTCACCACACTTGAAACATACTTAAAAATACTGTACACATGAAGGTGTCAGCGTGCTTTTACTCTCGAGTCCAGAAACCAATCGCGTATCCTAACAATATAATAGGGGCTGGCCGCCGGGGCGGGCTGGTGTGTCTGGCTGGCTGGCTGGCTGGCGGTGAGGCGCAGCCTGCGCGGACGTCTCAAAGGGTGGGTGACTCGGGCAGACCTCGGCTCTGCTCAGCTCGTGCCGGCTTCGGCGCCAGCTCAGCCTCGTTCGTTGAATGAGATTTTAAGAACTATCTTTGGAATGAGCCCATACTAATGAGCCCAGAAGAAAACCAAACGAGTATCATCTGCTTTCATTAACGTTCGTTGAATGAGATTTTTTCTCGTTTTGCAGTGCAGGCTGACATGTGTCGGGCCCGACACACGATCTTTTGTGGTCCAGCCTAGCGACCCTACTGTAAGGTTTGGTTAGCTTATGTCGGGTTGGGTTAGGTTAGGTGAGGTTAGGTTAGGCTAGATCGGGTTAAGTTAGGTTAGGTTAGGAGGGTTGCTAGTCCAGCCTCTGATAGTGATCCGAAATAGCATACGATCAGTTGTGGTCCAGCCCGTAATGGTAATGGGGGTAGGCAACCCGCACGCGGCCGTGCCCGGCCGTTGCCTACCCGCGCGGCGGCCCGTGAACTTGGCCGGCCCGCGCGGCGCGCGTTCATTGCGAACCGTATTAAGGCCAGAAGGCCACCGCGCAGTGGCACGCCTCTCGCCTCTTCGGTGGTTAGACACCGTCCGCCTCGTCCCGGTAGCGAAGCGGTAGCGAAGCGGTAGCGAAGCGGTAGCGAAGCGGTAGCGAAGCGCGGAGTGGCCGGCAGAGTGCGGCGATGTGTAGCGTGTAGGCACTGCTCTCCCCCCCCCCTTTTCTCGCCACCGATCTGTAAGTAGGCTCACACGCAGGGGCCACATACTTGGCACAGCACCGGATTGCAGTAGCCAATTAATTAGGGGAGGGGAAGAAAATGAGGAAAAATAAAAATCACATCCCGGCACGAGGCGCGGCGCAGCGCGGTGCAGCGCCGGTAAAAATGCGCTATCTCGATATCTGGATGCTTCCGGGCCGAGTGCGTGACGCTGAGGGTGTCGTTCGTTAAGGGCCGAGCGCTATCGCGGCGCCCGCACGCCGCTCGCGCACTCTCCGCCGCGCACTCCGCGCCCCGCACTCTTTGGCCGCGGCGTGGCGGCACGGCACGGCCAGCGACATGTGTAGTGCCACAGGCAGCCGTACTCATGAATTGCCGTGTTTCGGAATGGTAATTGAGTCATTACTTTAATGACTCGGCTGGAGGGGCGTGTGGCGTGTGCGCGCGCGAGTGTTGACGTCCACGTCCCCGCGTCCACGTCGTCGCCGCGGTGCCGGCCGCGCGGCTCGACGCGCTCTTGGCCGTCCGCGCGGTGCCTCGCTACGTGGACGGCGCGGGGACGCTCATGGGCTTGGCTCCGCAAACAAAACGCTGGGGCCGTTGGCCGCTCCGAACGGCGGCGCGGCGAACACACCCCGAACAGGGCACAGGGCGCGGCCACCCTTTGTCCCGGAGCATTCCGCGGCAGCCTGGCTGCGTCCGAGCAGTGCTTCCACCTCTCTGCTCCTCTCGCACTCACGAAGCGTCCCGGAGGCGTGCGAGAGAGGCAGAGGGAAGTGAGCGCTCTGTGCCACGCCCACCGCACTGCCGTCGAGACATGCCGGTCGTGCGCCGCCATGGTGTCCATGGTGTCCGTCACGCGCCGAATGCAAGCCGAATGGTGCAGCGCGCGGCGTCCTGCCCGCGGCTTGGCCGGCGTGGCGCACGAACACGCTAAAACCAAA